TGTTTTTTTTTTTATCTTTATAATTTCCTTTCTTCTATTTATTTTGGAGCTATATTGCACATCTTTCTTTTTGAAGTAGAATCTTAGGTCATCAATTTTAGATTATTCATTGATAACATACATTTAAAGTCATAATTTTTTTCTTGAAGGATTGTTTTTGCCTCATTTCACAACTTTATAGCTTTATTTTTATTCTTTCATATATTTTATAATCTTTGTTGCAATTTCTTTTCTGGTCCATAAAATTTTTTGTGGAAATATATTCTTATTCCAAATATTTTTTTTCTAAATATCTTCTTCTTATTGATATTTAAATTTAATTTCATAGTTATTGAACATATCCTAAATTACTTTATTATTGTTTAATTTGTTGATACTTGCTTTTTGGCCAAGCAGATTGTCTTTCTTGATAAATATATACTCTTAAAAACAATGTTTATTCTGTTGTTGTTTGATGAAATGCTTTATAAATAACAATGTCATTCATGTCTTTTATGTCTTTACTGAATTATTTTGCCTAATTGTTCTATCAATGTTTGAGAAAGGAGTGTTAAATTATCTGAGTATAATGGTGGGGTTGTCTGTTCCCTTAAATCTGTTAGTATTTGCTACAGGTATTTTGAAGTTTTTGTGATTAGGCACATATGCATTAATAAATAAAAATATTCTTAGAAATTTATCATTGTGAAATATTATTTGTTTTGAAATATTCTTTGTTTTGAAGTCTACTCTATCTGATATTAATATAGTCACTTCATCTTTCTTAGAGTTACGGTCTACATGGTGTATATTTTCTTGTACACTTCGTTTCAACCCCTCTCCATTTCTTCATATTTAAAGTTTATTGTGTAATTGATGTGATTCTGCAATCTGTAATTGATGTGATTCTGCAATCTGTATTTGGGGTAAAAATGGGAGTTCATCACCCACTTGAATCGAATGTATGAAATATGATATGTCAAGAGTCTTGTAATGTTTTCAATAACCAATAAAAAAAAGAAAAAAAAGAAAGTTTATTATAGGGTATAATACTCTTTGTATTTGTCCTGGTTAGAATTTATTGAACTTCTTTACTTGGTAAAAGTATATCTTCCACCAAATTTTAGATATTCTTCCACATTATTTCTTCAAAAATTTTTCTTTTTACCCTATTCTCTTCTCTCCTTTTTAGGATTTTAGTAAAATGTATGTTAGGCCTTTTAATACCGACCACAGATCTCTGAGACTGTTAGAGTCGTTGTGGTCCTCTTCCTCCTCCTCCTCCTCCTCCTCCTCCTCCTCCTCCCTCTACTCTTAAAAAAAATACTTTTCCTCTCTCTGTTCTTAAGATTGGTTCAACTTAATGTATTTTTAAGTTTAAAGAAACTGTTAATACTCTTTTTTCTACATGATCATAATTTGAGTATGTTTTGGTTCCCAAAGGAAATGCAATGATGCTGCTTTCATTTCAGGGATGGTGACAGTGGGGATGTAATATGCTTCAAAATGACATAACAAAAACTAAATCTGTAAATTGTGCAAAAATTCATTTTGTGGGTCAACTTGAGTAGAATCTGATTATTTAGAAGATGACAAAGTGCAAAGAAGACTTAGTGAGGATTTTTAATATATTTGGGAACTTCAAAAGTTAATAGAAATGCTTCTCTATCAGGTCTAATTTCACATTAATAAGTTTTTTCCCCTATTCCTTTGAACACTTATTTTATTAACGATTTGAGTACATAGTTTGTTCTCAAAGAATATAAAGTGACTGAATTTTATTGCTAGCAAGAGTGGAGAAACAGGTTGGGCTACCTAATTTGCAGGGCTCAGAGGGAAATGAAGATGGGGGAACTTCTGGTTCAGGAAGAGAAGTTTAAAGCAAGCACAGTCGGCACAGGACCTCGTATGACTAGAACAAAGTACGAATCCCCGAGGCCAGGGAGGGTGCTGAGTTGAGACCCGCCAATCAGATATATCAGAACGTGAATCCCAGACCTCCTACTTGCCAGCTGGGTGATCTCTGGGAGGTTACTTTTCTTCTCCAAACTTTAATGTCCTTGTCGGCAAAATCAATCTCTCCTAGGTTTGTTGTGAGGCATAAAAAAATAGTTATGTAAAGAGTCAGTATGATGTCTGATACATAACTCAGTCAAAAAAGAAGTTATTATTATTTGTTATGTGGGATTTATTAGAAGAAAAAAGCTTAAAAAGAGAATGGCTGTGGTGTTATTAACTGAAAACTGGGAGATGTGACATAAAAAAAATATGTGTGTGTGGACATGGGGGACAGAGGTGAGAAGTGTAGGGGGGTACGACCCGGAACCAGTGGGAGGCAGAGGATGGGGAGATAAATTCTCTGCCCAGTCTCAGGGTGGCGCTCTCCACCCCGGAGAACTTGATAAGATTCTAAGTATGGAGGTGAAGTGGGCATTTTAAAGGGTGGGTCAAAGGAAGGACAGAAGCACAGAGGTGTGGACCAACGTGCCATCAGGTAATCTTATAAGTAGAACTTTGAAAATCTGCTAAATGTAGCTCAGGGGTGGAGTGCTTGCCTAGCACCTGCAAGGCCCAGAGTTCAAAGCCATTACCACAGACAAGAAAAAGGAAAGAAAAATGTGCTGAACACTGAAAGAGTGTGGTTAGAGGATGATTAGTATTTTCAACTTCCTTGTTACGGTAGGGATATCAAGACACTTGGTTCATCTAGGTAGAGATATGAGCACATTTGGTTTATGTCTAATAACGTAAAACGCTGGGTCTCAGTCTGGCTATAAATTAGAATCACCTGGGAAACTTTCAAACATATTGTTGCTCCAGTTCTACCAGAAATAAATTCTGATTTATTTGTTCTGGGGTGAGGCCCGGGTGTCATCAGTGTTTTTTAAAAGCTTTTCAGATGTTTCCAATGTGCAGACATAGGCTGAGAGCCACTAACCTAAAACAATGGCATGTTGTTAAGAAGACGGGTGTGTGTGGGTGTGTGTGTGTGTGTGTGTGTGTGTGTGTGAGAGAGAGAGAGAGAGAGAGAGAGAGAGAGAGAGAGAGAGAGAATGTGTGGATGTGTTTGGGAACCAAGCGATTAAGGAGCAGTAATGCACATAGGAGTGGCAACCCTCCAGCAGCCTTAGCACACTACCATAGGGGATGCTGTCCTCTGGTCCTCAGGGGATGCTGCCCTCTGGTCCTCAGTAGTATCTGCTCAGGAAGCTTCTACCACCACACTCCCAGAAGCAACCCTTTTATAAACTACTATGCATAGTGTATTTAAATGGTGCCTGTCACATGATAAGGATCAACACGTGTTAGTTGTTAATTACTACTATTTTGTTTTCTATTAGAATTCACTTTAAATTTTAAAAAAATGAACAGTACAATCATCTTTCCTTTGGAGGTTTAACCCATCCTCTGAAATCTTGTATGTCATTGTAAATAAGCTTTTTGTAAAAAAAAGAAATCCAGTGAGACTGACAGAGATCGCTAAAACGCCATTGAGGCTCCAAAACAATGAAACCGCAAAGCGTGGTGCTTTGACATGATGAGCTAAGAAGCAGCCTCAAGATCTCTCTGACCTTCCCCTGTCTGTCAGTCTTTCTCTCCTGAAGTTCAGGAAAGAAGGGCTTTCTCCAAAGTTCCCTTGTCCATCTAAAGACTGGATCCACTGACGAGGGACACAATTGCCTTTCATTTTGCTGAAATTTCATTAAGAAAATTAAATTTATGTCATAGAGGAAGAGACAAAAGTCAAACACCACATTTAGAACCCAGGGGAATGTTGTCCCTGGCCACTGCCTATTCTTCAGATGCATTCCTTTCCTAAAATTCATTTACTCCCCCTCTGAACGCGCCTGCACACCCCCTTCCCTCTCCTCTGTGAAGAGGTTGTTTAAGCCTCCACCATCTGTCCCCCTTTTAGGTTTCATATATTTTTTTTTTATTGGTTGTTCAAAACATTACATAGTTCTTGACATATCATATTTCACACTTTGATTCAAGTGGGTTATGAACTCCCATTTTACCCCGTATGCAGCTTGCAGAATCACATCAGTTACACTTCCATTGATTTACATATTGCCATACTCATGTCTGTTGTATTCTGCTGCCTTTCCTATCCTCTACTATCCCCCCTCCCCTCCTCTCCCCTCTTCTCTCTCTACCCCGTCTACTGTAATTCATTTCTCCCCCTTGTATTATTTTTCCCTTTCCCCTCACTTCCTCTTGTATGTAATTTTGTATAACCCTGAGGGTCTGCTTCCATTTCCATGCAATTTCCCTTCTCTCTCCCTTTCCCTCCCACCTCTCATCCCTGTTTAATGTTAGCGTTCTTCTCATGCTCTTCTTCCCTACTCTGTTCTTAGTTACTCTCCTTATATCAAAGAAGACATTTTGCATTTGTTTTTTAGGGATTGGCTAGCTTCACTTAGCATAATCTGCTCTAATACCATCCATTTCCCTCCAAATTCTATGATTTTGTCATTTTTTAATGCAGAGTAATACTCCATTGTGTATAAAGAAGATAGTATGTTTTTAAAATAGCTTAAAAATAAAAAGTGCTTGATTTTTTTGAAAACAAAGTTGTTGACAGCTGAGATACACATGACACATATGAATCAAATTGTTTCATAAAACATCAAAGTAGAATAAAGCCATATTCCCAAAGTAATGAGCTATACATTTTCTTTTGAGTGGTATGCAATTAATATACATATATTTAAATTAAAAGCGAGATGTCTAAAACTTTATATGTTTGAGTTGGGCAAAAAAGAAAAAAAAAGTTTGATTCTTAATTTTCTGCTTCAGAAAATGGACATTGGCTTTGCAAAAAGGTGTGTGGAGAATTAGAGAAACTGTAAGGAGACACTACGTAGGAGGAAAAGACACACACAAGAGCCCAAATGGCCTCTCTTTCCTCTGTTAACAATAATCCTCCTCTTCACAATGATCAGTGCAATGTTTTAGAATAAGAAAGAGCGCATAAGCCCCTGAATTGTTGGCTTGCCTGGGCTTGTTCTGGGGCCAGTGAGGTTTTTAGAAGAAACCTCACTTACAGCAGCAGCCATAGCAACTTAACCCTACAGGTCCTACCCTGGCAACTATGATCTCTACAAATTTGGGAGGGGGCAAGGGGGTTCAGTATCACATAAAAGATAATTTCCCACTTTTACCATCTTTCAATACAATTTTTACTGTTATTCAATTCATAAATCTATCTATAGGGAGCATCTGTCACAGATATGCTGGGACTCACTAAGCTGCTGGTTGTGAGGAGCAACAGCCACAGGCTGGACTGGATGCAATTGACAAGGACCATCATCTAGAGACAGAAAAACGCTGGAGCGTGATAACAATGAGCACCAACTTGGAACTGTATATGAACTACTTGTCCTGCGGTGTCAGAGAGCTTTGCTCTGAGGACATCCGTGAGACAGGCTGCTTTGCTGTCTGTGCCCAGATCGACTCAACCTTTCCCTGACATCCAACCGTCAGGCTGGAGAGAACCTCGGGACAAGAACAAGACTGCTCTTCAGGTAAGAGAAGTCACCTGGCATCGGAGGTACTTTGGTGCTCGCGATTGCCCTAGGATTATGTGATTTGCTTATAGTGTTTAATTAGTATGCATTGAATGCTAATTGGGGTGCTCCAACACACCCAACACTTTTTGCATTAATTGCTTGTGTTTGGTGATTGGTGTGGTTGAATATATGCTTGCATTTAAAGACAATTCGCCTCCCTGGAATGATTAAATAGCACCGCTCACGACACTGTCCGTCTCCAATTCCATGTACCTACTGCCTCGGAAACACATGCATGCATACCCCTCCTCACCCCCTTACACCCATTCCATCTTCAATTGAACCCTCCCTAAGACACCAACAGAAGTTTGGGTAAGAAGATGCAGTATTGTGTTGGGGACTAGAAGCTTCCATTCTGCCTGTTTTGAAGTGGTAATCGTATGAGATGCTTCTTCCTGCCTGCTTGCATCAGAACACAGAAATTCCAGTTGTGTGTCTCATTCTGAATCAAAAAAGAGGAGACTCCCCACAAAGGGTGTTTGGACTGTTAAATAGAAGGGAATCCTCACCAGGATGTAGACCCTCAGCAGAAGCTGGGGGAAAAATTGCTCTCTGGGACCACCTGTTCTGTCTTGGATCTCAAAGAGAAACACTCGGGCTGACTCAGGCATGTTTAACTAAATCGGTCCGCTGGGTTTTTTTTTTCTAATTATAGGTGATAGGCAGTGAGAGAAATATGTCCCTTTCATCATTTCAAATACTCTTCCTTTCTTCTGCTGCCATCTTAACCTTTCAACTTATACAGTAAGGAGGAGGGGATAATGGGCCAGAAATACCTATCAGGCTTGATATGATCTGTCTATATATATATATGAACAGATGATATGATGTTTGCATAAGAATTAGCATTTGAAAGGAGTGTGTGACATTTGTGCATATGTGCATGTGTACACACACACACACATACACACACAATCAATCAATTAATTGCCAGGTGTTTATGGATCATGAACAAGAAAACAAATGCTCTTCCATGTTAAAATCTTGAGGGCAGGTAAAGAAAGAGCTGAAAAGGTGGATGAAGTTGACTTGGCCTTAGCTTAACTTATCCTTTCTCAGGGGAGAGTTTCATGAAAATTTAGTTCTATTAACCTCCCTGGGGAGTGGGGGAGGGAGGGCAGGGTTTCCTTGGAAAATTCTTTCGGGGAATGTTGCATGCTTTATGTCCTTCTCAGAGAGCTATAATGCACATTAGCTTATTAAAGCCTCTGAAAAGAAACCTATTAAACTTTGTTTAACCCGGTGTTTAGAGTCTAGATTCTAGAACTCATTTGAGTATAGGAATCTGTTTTGCACACGACTCCTATTAACACCCCTAGGGACCAGTATTTCCTAGAATATACCTAGGGAACCTGCAATTTTAGTCTATTACATTTCTTATTTGTCTTTAAAATAACTAGCAGTTTATCTGTAATTGGAAAAGCTGTGGTCCCCCCAGCCCTCCCTCAACAGAGCCCAACCTGCTAATATGACTCCTTCCACCCTGAAGACTGGCTTCTTGCATCTTCTAAGGACCTAGAGGCCAACAGGATGATCCTGCCAGGTGTGACTAACTGCAGCCTCTGGTGGATGCACTTTGTGGTCTTCTTTTTAAGTGCTGTCCCAGTCCCAACTGCATTTGTCTCTCCTGGGAGCTTGTTAGAAATGCAGAATCCCAGCCCCACTCTGGAGCTACTGAAGGAAAGCCATCCTTTTAACAAGAATCCCAGGTGATTTGCAGGCAGTGAGCCTGAGTCCAGAGGACGCAAGCAGGGAGGATGCCTGGTCCTACAAGAGAGTGAGGGTGGGGCAGCCAGCTCCCCTGAGATTGACACTGAGCCTTCCCACAGAATAACCAAAATCCAGGCTATGGTGTGGCTCTGCACACTTTGAAGATGTGGTGGGGGTGAGGGTAGAGTCAGAGAAAAGCCAGGAGGGAACTTTGAATCTTCTTCAAGGAAGTAAGAGGGGACTGACCCAGGAATTGAGACCAACAGACACAGTCAGTAGCCCAGGAGGTGTTAGGGAGATCAGTCCTGAGGCTGTGGCTTCTGGAGAGCATCAGGCAAAAGTGATAGACCAAGAGCAGCTGCGTGTCAATGACCCGCAGCTCCCAAAGGAAAAACTCAATGCAAAAGAAAACACTGCAGCTCCAGGCAGAGGTGAAATCAGGACTCATCTCATTTACCTTCAAATTGACTAAACAAATTAATCTTTAGTTGAGGCATTTGTTAATTTTTTTTTTCTGCTGCTGTAACCTAGGTCCCCTCACTTGCAAGGTAAGCGCTGTACCACTGAGCTATACATCCCAAGCCCAGAAGCTTTTGTTAGTTCTTCAGTTTTTATACTCCCTAAAAGAAAGAGGGAGGGAGGGAGGGAGGGAGGGAGAGAGAGAGAGAGAGAGAGAGAGAGAGAGAGAGAGAAACCCCACCTAGGTCTTCTGCTTGTGAATAGCAGAAAATTGTTTCTCAATATCTCCATATTCAGACACCCACAAACCACTATGCATTCACACACACATGCATACACACAAAACTGTTTATTATTTTTTGGATAGCAACACATATTAACATATTAAGGATACAAAAATGCACTATAGAACACACAGGGTCACACAGGGTTATAGTCTACAGCCCAGCTCTAATTCCAACCTTCTACTCTTCGTTCTACCTTGTGTGTGTGTGCCTTGGAATGGAACCCAGGGCCTCATTCATGGCAGGCAAACACTCTACCACTGAGCTACACCCTAGATCCCTCTACCCTTCATTTTACAGCTCAGAGAAGGAGATTTTTTTTACCCTACTGCCTGCTGTGAGTTTGCCCTACATCGTTGGGCACACACAGCAGATTTACAGAGTAGACAGTGCTCAAAACACTGCTTTGCAAAACATAGTTCAGCAATAGAATTTGCCTACAAAATTAAGGACATATACAATTTTACCTCCAGGTGGAGGAAAAAGATGTACTGATAGGAAAAAGATTAATTGAACTGACATGTGTCATCCAAGAAGCTCAGGAAGTCTGAGATACGCGGTCCCCAGGCCTTGTTAGGGGCCAAGCTGGTACCATCCTTATCTATTGAGACCTTGGTGGCTAGGAGATATGTTTAAGGTCACAGCCCTAATTAGGAACTGTCGGACTCTCAGTTACTCAACCTACCCCCAGGGCACACTATTTCTGCCTGGAGAAATCAAAGGTACAGCCAGCAGCTCTTGGCATGCTGACATCTGCACACGAAAGGGGCTCACATGGGATGCACGCATCTGACTGCAAATGGGAAAACCTGACGCTTGCTCTCAGAGAGGCTCTTGACCTATTTTTTTTTTTTCGACAATTTTGAATTTTGGCAAAAAGTCTTGTGATTTGAAAATGTAATTTTTATCCTTAATTTAAACCCTTGTGTATTTTCAAGAGAAATTTAAGTGAGAAAACATGTCTTTCTGGTTAAATGGAAGCCTGCGCTACGAACAAAGAAGGGTGTCGGGGGGAGGGGGAGTCCTGAGGTCACTGCTGGCTGATTCCCAGAAAGATTCTGGTAGGAGCTCTTGGAAAGGTTGGAGAAGCTGGTTGTCAGCGGAGGAGGGTGGGTGGGGGTGAGAGAGGAGCAGAAAAAGGGTTGGGAGTGCTGCCCTGGGAACAGGCAAAAGAGGCAAATGACAGGAAGGCTAAGTGGTGGGGAGGTGGACTGGGGACCTCACATTTGAGGACCCAGGAGGTCAGCAGGACCAGGACACCTGCTTCCATTCCAAGGCCACAGGACAGAAGCAGAGAAAGCAGCCGTGCAGTTTGTGGATTCTTTTCATCACTTCTCCAAGCCAGTGGGTCCCTTGAGTTAGCAATCACACTCTGTGGATCTTTCTATCCCGAGAGCCTAACAGAATGTTTAGCGCAGAGCGCATGCTGGGAAAATGCTTCAAACGTTTCTAAGTGAGGAAAAGAAGGTGTTTCTAACCCAAACCACCAAAAGCTAACCAAATTTAGACTAAGATTTCAACAATGACGGTAACTCATGAACATTCCTAGGCTACATCACAAACTGGTAAAATAATAATAAAAAAAATTCCATTGGTCAGCATAGTATAGGCAAAAAAAGGCCAACATTGGTCAAATTCTGTTCCATTCAGCGGTCCAGTCAGATCGTGGCAGCAACTGGACCAGTCGTTTTGGGGGAATGATGCATTTTACTTCCCCTTTTCTCCTCTTTCTCCTTCCGACAGCTGCTTGATTCCTTCTCTTAGCTTTTAAATCTACTCGCTTCTGACAAAACACTAAAATAGTCAACATGTGTTGACTTTTCACATTATATGGATGGCTAATTCTTTCGTACTCACAAGGTTTGGAGGAGGGGCAGCCACTGCCTGGGCATGGGGCTGAGGCTCAGTTTGGGTGGGTGCTCTGCACATAGAACCTGTCTTAGGTAAAGGAGGGGGCAAAATGAACCTCAGATCGGATGCAGAGCAGAGCATCAAACCATGCCCCTTCAGATTCTGACAATCTAGTGCCCAAGTGCATATCCCTAAAGACCAAAGCAGGTTAGAAGAGGAGGAGACATGGGGGCGTTTTTTTACTTTATCCGTGAGGAAATTATAAGTCATGATCACCTAGACAGCTGACCGGCTGGCTGAGGGTCGAACTCAGATTGGCTCCCCACTGGATGAGTATGCATTTCATACTCATGGGAAGTAGAGACAGGGCAGCCCAGGGCTGGCAAGAGACAGAGTCAAGCAAATGGAGGAGTTGGGTATTGTGCTGAGTGGGGTATCCCATTCAATCCCACAGCTCAAAAGAAGCATCTTCTGCTGGTGATGAGCAAATTGATTTGTCTAGCCTTGACCTACCTGCTAAAATTTCAAACTGGCATCCCTTTTTTATTTTTTTTTAAAGTATAAGTTCAGTATTTTCTTTTTACTTTTAATAACTTTATTTTATTCGTTTATTTTTTATGTGGTGCTGAGAATCAAACCCAGTGCTTCACA